TTAGGATTTTATAGCAGGATCACTCTGGCTTCTGTAAAAATAAAGCATTAATGGGCCAAAAAGGGATGTGTACACACACACAGTGAAGAGACACATGTTTAGTGTAATGATACTCCCTTGGGTGTAAATGAGAGTGTATTTAAGAAAAAGAAGAATGGGGTGGTGCCTGTGGCTCAAGGAATAGGGCGCTGGCCCCATATGCTGGAGGTGGCGGGTTCAAACCCAGCCCTGGTCAAAAAAAAAAAAAAAAAAAAAGAACGTATTTTGTCACATAAATGAACCAAAAGTTATAAGGAGGCCTCGGTCCTTGAGGGAGTTTTGTGCTCTGGAAGTTGCTAAGACAGGAGGGTCTGAGGAAATGGGTGGTGCAGGAGGTTTTTGTTATTATTAGTGACAAAGTCATTACTTTTGATTAGGCTGGATGAATTACGTGCTGTGTGGTATGTGTAAAAACCTATCTTTTTCCTGAATGTTATTCTGGCCTGGATTACTTTAGAGGGAGCTCAGAAAAATCCTCTAGAATGATTGAGACTGGTTTCTTTCTTTCTTTCTTTCTTTTTTTTTTTTTGAGACTTGTTTGTTTCTTGAAAGGTGACTCCAGTTCCTTCCCTCATGCCATCCTTCTTGCCTGTCCTTCACTGATGATCAGGGCTCAGGGGATTGCCCCACAGAGTATATATTTCTGAATTCTGGTCATTAATTTTTCTTGGCTGGGCTGAGGAAACATTCCTGTCACCTCTTTTGAACACAGAACACTACCTTGGTGTGAATGAGTTTTGACAACGGAACCTTGTTCTGTGAGTCAGCATTGAAGAAGTTGGTGAAATTCCACTTCCTATTAATTTTCTGGTGTAGTTTGGACACCTAGGAAAACATCTGAGGAAAGTTTTCATTTCTTGGGTTAATAATAAATACCATAAGGTGGTTTTCCAGTCTGCTGGGCGAGTGTGACTTTTGTGCAGAAGGTGTGTGAGGCGTGGTTACTACAGAGGTTAATTAGGAGCATGTAATGACTGTCGCCAAAAAACTTTTGAAACATGGAAATTGATTTACACAGATAGTTATTCTGAAGTTTTCACATCTCAATTTAATATTTGCCAAACATCCCCTACCAGTTTTTTTTTGACAGTGAGAATGTTTGGAGATACGGTGTGTGCTCCTCCGAGCACATGCCTTCACATTTCCCCCACATTCTGTATTTATGTGGGTCTGTGGATGGAGTCTCCCTGGGTATAATATTCTCAGCCATCTTTTTTTAGTTTTAATTGGTTGTAAAATATTAGCAGGAAGGCAAAGTTATTTTACACTGAAGTGACTTTTTGGGGAAGTGGCAAATTAAATTTTATGGTAGCAGCTGTTCAGTGTGGAATTTATCAGAAAGAAGTAAAAGCTTACACTCGTCTGATATAAATCCTTGGTTTAAAAAAGATGAAAGCCTTCCGTAAACAAGGGTATTGGAATGTAGGAAAATACTTTTGCAAATATTTTATCTATTTATTTATTTTGTAAGTAAGTTAAGACCTAGGATTCACTATTTCACAGTTTAGCATAAATCTTTCAAAGGTAATTGCCGTGATTCTGCAATGAGAACCTTTATGTAGCTTAGATAGCAATAATGATCTGCCAAAAACAAAACATAACTTAGTAGAGAAGCTCCCAAAGGGGAAGTTCTGAGTGGAAAAAACACAAATTGTTTTTCCTCTGCTTCCCCCCCACCCCCCGCAGTCAACACAAAAGACGTCTGTGACCAGATGTGTGGAGGTTTTTCCCACATAGACCAAGCAAACAACCCGTTCAGCTATAAATTGACATTCCCATGACTCCCTCCTTGGGCTCAGTTACTTGGCTAGAGTGGCCTACAGGACTCAGGGAAGTCCTTATTTAACATTTACCAGTTTATAATGTTACGAAGAATATTACAAAAGCTACAGATGAAGAGATGCATAGGGCACGGGATGGGGAAAGGGATATAGGACTTCCATGCCCTTCTCTGGTACCTCCGTAAGCTCAGCTATTTGGAAGCGCTCCATACCCTATTCTGTTGGACCTTTTTGGAAACTTCAGTGGCTAGGCATGATTGACCCATGGACTACTGTGTAGAAATGTGATTGGCCCAAAACGATTTGGTCTAATGTTAATAGACCAAGTGGAGAAACCCAGCAAGCCCAGCCCGGCCGGGTTCTTCTTGGCCTCTCTGTGTGTCATTCCTTCTTCCCAGGTTTGGTGTAGGACCCCTTGAAATGGGGATCTCAGGACCTACAATCAGGCACGGTAGGTCAGAGACCAGCTTTATGGCCAGCTCCATGACAGAAAGGTGGGGGAAGACTAGAGTCTATTTTTAGTTTCTATGGCCTGTCTTTGGGGACAAAAAGGAGCAAGTGAAAAGGGAGGGCGGGAGAAGGTCAGAGAGAGAGAGAAAGAGAGAGAGAGAGACAGAGACAGAGGAGGTCTAAAGTGTTTCCCAGTATCATAGCAAATACTGTCTTTCACTTTCATCACTCTGAAGCTATTCTGAAACTGCTTTGGGAACCAAGGACAGAAGGCCAAATAATATATATATATTTTTTATTGAATGGTAACTATGTACATTAATGCACTTCTGGGGTACAGTGTGGGGTTTTCACATGCAATCTGAAATACTTCCATCAAACTGGTCAACACAGCCTTCATGTCATTTTCTCAGTTCAAATAATTTAACAAAAGATAAGCTTATTGTTTTAGTCACTTAGGAAATAACAAGGGATATGAGAGTTTATAAGTCAGGAACCATAGTTGAAAATCAGTCTATCTCCTCCCCTCTCCCCTCGCCTATCACAGAAATGTACTGGGTAAGTACATTGCTAAGGGGCGTAGACCAGGGGGTCCTCAAACTTTTTAAACAGGGGGCCAGTTCACTGTCCCTCAGACTGTTGGAGGGCCAGACTGAAGGCCCTGGGATGAGTCAGCTGCTAAGCAGGACAGGCAGCGGCAGCAAAAACATCCGGCGGGCCAGATGAATGTCCTAGGTGGGCTGGGCCAGATGCATGTCCTAGGTGGGCTGGGCCAGTGAATGTTCTAGGTGGGCTGCATATGGCCCACCTGGCCTAGACCTTTGTACTTATTGTCCACTTTCCTGGGACTCCCCCTGCCCTCCCAAACCTTTACCAGATTGGTGCCTTTTCATCCTTTACAGGTTGCCTTTCCCAATTTCACTAGTTTTCACTCTTTTTTTTTTTTTTTTTGAGACAGAGCCTCAAGCTGTCCCCCTGGGTAGAGTGCCATGGCTTCACTGCTCACAGCAACCTCCAACTCCTGGGTTCAAGCGAGTCTCCTGCCTCCACCTCCCAAGTAGCTGGGACCACAGGCGCCCGCCACAATGCCCGGCTATTTTTTGGTTGCAGCCATTATTGTCGTTTGGTGGGTCCAGGCTGGGGATTTGAACCCGCCACCTTAGGTGTATGTGGCTGGCGCCTTAGCCACTTGAGCCACAGGCGCCGAGCCAGTTTTCACTCTTATAATTCCTTTTCTTAGCATTTATTTTTATATTTCATTTGAGTAATTCTTTATCCTCTGAACTTGATGAAATAAGGGAGGGTTTTATTAATCCTTTTTTGTTAATGTATCATAACTGCATATACCGCATATATACTGCATATATTGATGGATATGCATTTCTTGGAGGAAGGCATGAATGAATGAATGGAGTTTGGGGGCTGCGGGAAGGCCAGTATGAAGATCCATGCCTGTCGGGGTCCTCAAGTTCAAACGCCTACGGAGCCAGGCAGCTGAGGTCGAGAAGCCAAGTAGACCAGGAGGAATGGGTGAGGTTCTGGGCAACCAGATAGAATGTTCTGGAAAGGTCCCCACTTAGAGGAGGTGGCTTCTTCTTACCAGTGGGGCAGAGGCTTGGACTGAGGCAAATTTGAGCAGCCCCCTGGGAAGATGGGGCCTAGGCATAGTGAAGATGGGGGAGACTGACATTATTCTTTAAGTCTTTGTAGAATCCACAGAAATGGTGCTGGGGAGAGGCAATCATGAGGTAAAGTCAGGTTGCTGTGGGCTGGGGATTGAGTGGGAGGTGAGGAGGGAAAGCCAGTGAATGGAGATTCCACATTTGAGAAGGTTTTCAAAAAGAAAAAAAAAAAGAAAAGGTAAGAAAAGAGACTGAAAGAGAACCAGGGTCAGAAGAAAATACCAGAAAGATTATAAGGGCAGGGAGGGACTGACTCTGCTGAAGAGGATCCCCAGTTTCTGAGGTGGAAATGGTGAGGGGCTGGCAAGACCCTGTCAGGAAGAAGAGGAAGAACGGATGTGGGAGGGGAGGGGAGGGGTTGTGCTTGGGGAAGACGTGTGTAGGATGTAGGCCTGAGACGCAGCTCCGTTTCCACTTGTGTCACAGATTTTATTAACAGGTGAACAAGAACTATCCCCAGGAAGACTGAACCGAAACTTCCCTGCAGTTTTTCTTTCTGACGTGAAAACTCTCCAGAAACCCCAGGCACCTCTGAAGGAGGTGTAATAGAAGTGGAATAGAAGGAAAAATTCAGAACTAGGCCGGAGAGAATCTTGGAGACCCACGGACATACAGAGGCCAGCCTGCATTGACTTTATAAAACTCTGAAGTTTATCCCCCAGAGCTTCTGTAGCTGCTGTTCAATCCAATCACTGTGTCTGTAAATAGTGTATCAGCCACACACTGGCATAAAACATTACAGAACTACTATTGCAGAAATTCGCTTATATCTTTGGGATCTAGTAATGCCCTAAGTTTGTGGGTACTTTTGCAGTTAAAGAATATATATATGTATTTTACTTTACCAGTTGCGACACTTTTTTCCACCCGTGAGTTTCACTGTAAGGTCTTTTCAGAGCATCTCATAATCAGTCAACAAATCTATTTCAAATGTGTTTGTTGCTAAGCAACGGTTGCTAAGAGCTTCTGTAATTAAGATGAAAGTTCCAAGGTAACAATGCCCAAACACAGCACCATTTTCACCGTTTTCTGATAATCCAGGGGTAGGATGGGTAAAAGGGAAAGAAGATTCTTTTCTGCTGTGAGCACGACATCTGAAATTTCTGAATATTTTGGCCGTCCTCTCACTTATGTGAGACAGAGTGCTCGTGTTTTGTAAATCAGGCATTTTTTTTTCTCCTGGTGTGTCTCAAATGTATATTCCAGATCTGAACAGGTAGAGTATGAGTTGGGGGGAGTTGCACAGCTGTGCTTCGATGTGGCCGCACAGTGATGCCAGTTGTCACGTGTGGGTGTAAGGGGCTTGGACGGTATACGCGCCACGTGAAATAAACTTCCTTTGCAGTTATGACTGACCTAGATTAAGTGGTGGTGCAGGCCTGTTCTGTACTTCGCTTAACAATGCACAGTTTCTTTCTCTTTTGGTCATTTGTAAAGGAAGACGCAGATGAATTTTTTCCTATTCATCGTGCCTGGCTCATTGCAGGCACTCAATAAATGTTCCTCTTTCCCTCTCCACCCCCCCATGCCCTGTTCCATTTTGTTCCAGGGGCAAGGAGGGGGCTCAGGTTTCCATGACGACTTGTTGCTGAATGACCTCTTTTCAGACCTGTCGTTAGATCTTGATGGGCCGAGCTGTGGTCCACGGAGCCCAGCCTCACCTAAGGGAGGGCTTTCCTGGGAAAAGGAGATTCAGTGGGTCCAAGTCAACACACAGTTACTGAGTGACCTGCCGGCTTCTGAATACTTGGCACCTCCCTAACCTGCACTTTGCTAGCAGGGTAGCCGCACAGCAGGCAGGATGGATGTTGGCCACCAAGAGTGAGGACCAGCGCATCTCATTCTGTTTGGCCCCCTACCGTGGGGTTGGGATCTTGGGGAGGTCATAACTACATTGAGCTTTAATTTCCTCATCCCTGTTCTGTGAACAATAATACCTGCTTGACTCATAAGCTTGTCATAGGAGTTAGATGAGCTAGAATATATAAAGTGTTACGAAAAATATATACACGTTTATTTATTTAACAAATACAGCAGGACTTCTATAAGTTGACCACCCAAGGGACTGTAACAGACTGGTCAACATATGGAGGTGATCAGCGTAAGACACTAGGCCTGCTGTACTGATACATACATGTGGTGCATGTCTGGTCTGCGAAAAACAGGTCAGCTTAAGGAGGTGGTCAGTGGAGGGAGGTGGTCAGCTATGGACGTTCTACTGTACTTAGCAAATGGATCCTGTGTATCAGGCACTGTTCTAGTTTCATACTATATTTCATGTTGGAACAAATGAGTAGATCAATTTAATTCTTTTTAATGGCAGTTTAATATTCCCTAGTAAAGATGGTGCATCATTTATTTAGCCATCTCCCGGTTAATGGATGCTTAGGTTAGTTAATAGTGCTGTATTGAACATCTTTCTATCTTTGGCCCATGTGAGTATTTTCCCCAGAGAAATACTGAAAGAGATTTTGCCGGGTCAGGAGGCAGACATTTAGTGCTCTGTTGCATACTAACCAAATTCCCCCACTGAAAGACCACAGCACCCTCCTTTCCCAAACAACATGCGTGAGGACTCGCATCTCTCCCCACGTTCGCTGATATAATCTTTCACATTTTACCAATCTGTGAGATGAAAAATAGCATCTAATGGTGTGTTACTTTCAGTTCCTTGCTCTGTTCGTGGCTATCTTTGTATGGTTTTGGCTGTTTTTATTGGCCCTTTAACCTTTTTATTTGTTTGGAGATACATCTTTTTCTTCATCTGAAGGGGGCTTTCTATCTATTTAAACACAAGCACATACTTTCCCATTTCATTTTACTTTTCCATCGAGATGGTATTTTGCAGAGAAGGTGAGAGGCACATGAAGTTAAATAGCTGGTAGAAGTCACTCGGCCTGATATGACAGTACTTGGGTTGGAACCTGGCTCTTCCTAATCCAGTTTGCTTTTGTCTGAGGAGAGAGGTTTATTTGGGAGGCTCAGCAGCCCAGGGATGCTGGGTTACCCTAGTGGGGCAATTTGGATGGTTAGATGATGCACCAGGGAAGCCACTGGGTCTCAGAAGGGGTTTAGTGCCCAGTACAGGCTTCCAGCCAGTGCCATGTTCAGCCCAACCTGCAGAAGTCATCTAAAACTGGGAGAGAGCAAAGTACCTGAGGGCCTGAGAGCCATCACTGTGTCTTTGTTCCTTAGCAGGTGGATATAAGGGTCAAGGAGAAGGAGAGTGACAGCCCCCAGAGGTTGCCACCTTTCAGCCTTTCAAGGGCACAAGCAGTGTATTGCAGAGATTAGAGAATGTTACTCTTCTTCTTTTTTTTTGAGATAGAGTCTCATTGTCACCCTGGGTAGAGTGCCTTGGCGTCTTCATAGCTCACAGCAACCTCCAACTCTTGGGTTCATACAGTAGCTAGAACTACCTAGCTCAGCCCATCTAGTAGCTAGAACTACAGACACCTGCCACAACACAAAACCCAGCTAGTTTTTCTACTTTTAATAGAGACAGGGTCTTGCTCTTGCTTAGGCTGGTCTTGAACTCCTGAGCTTAGGCAATCCACCTGCCTCAGCCTCCCGGAGTGCTAGGATCACAGGTGTAAGCCACTGTGCCCAGCCTCACTCTTCTTAATAATCACAAGAGACAGGGAATACAGATCCTCTCCTTATTGGAGTTTTCTGTTGTACCTTATTTGAATAATCATAATTTCTTTTTTTTCTGATTGAATAATTACCATTTTCCTTTTCTGTATAAAACAGCAAAACTAGATGTAAAGATTTTGCTGGAATGGTCTTATTTTAGGCTTCTTCTTATCCTGATCTGACTTGGGATGTATGTTTGATAAGGCTAAGTCCTAGGATAGAAATTCTACATTTATTTATTTATATACTTATTTTTTAAAGGCTGAGAGCAGCGTTAGGCGCCTTCTGGTTCAAGACACTTATTGAAAACCCATGCAAAATCCAAGATCTGGGGACCTGGCGGTGGGTTGCCAAGGTTACCCAGATATTGCAGATCAAGAATTCGGGGCCCTTCTACTGTGGTAGGACTTGTGATTCTACCATTTTTTTTAAATCTTTCTGATACTCGTCTATCTTCTCCCACACCCTTTTTTCCTCAAGATTTCTTACTTTGAAAATGAGGCTGATTTGACTCGTTTCTTTGAATCATTGTGCTAAGTAGTAGATAAAGCACTTTTAATGTTAGAATTTTAATCTCCCTTTGTACATATTTTTGAAGGCCGCTCTTTTCCCAGCTTCACCTTATGTATGTAACTTGTGCTTAGTTGAAGCTTCTTGAGTTAGTAAAAGGATAAGGTAATTGTAATACACAGCAGAACATCTGTACATTGACCACCCAAAGGCCTGTAATAAAATGGTCAGCATACAGAGGTGGTTCACATAAGGAACCAGGCCTGCTGTACTGGGGTGTACATGGGGTGCATGTCTGGTCTATGAAAATTCGGTCAACATGAGGAGGTGGTCAGTGTAAGGAGGGGGTCAGCCATGGGAGTTCTCTTGTATTTCTGTGCTTTAATTACACACACACACACACACACTCCCTTAGTCTCAAATTCTATGTAATAGAATTCTATATAATTCTATCTCCTGCTTTCAGGCATAGGAATATCTGAAATATTGAGAATAAATAGTTTCCTCCATCATTTTAGAGAATTTACAGAAAGGATACCACAGTTTTCCTTAGATGTTCATTCTGATGTTTAATAACTGATCCTGTTAGGAAATTTGTCTGCCTTCATCTGTTGCTGTGGATTCCTGAGATGGGGCTGACATAGCCCAGGATGAAGCCATTAGCAATTCTAGGCTCTTTGGTGGTTGTGTCTGATTGTGGTCTCAGAGAAGGGTCAGATATCCGTGCATCAGAATGCCACCTATAAGGAGTGGTTAGGAATGATGGGTTGTATCGCTAAGGAGAATGCTGAGAGAATTCTTGTTCCTGTAACTTTCCCCACTGAATAAGGTCTTTTGTCCTGTTATAAAGAGTGATTCAAAACCCGTTAGTTCTGGCCTGGCTGGAGTTGATATGTAGGTACCAGGGGTGAGGCCAGCCTTCTACAAAGAAGCATTTGGTGTTATGTCAAGAGGAAGATTTTCCAGAATTGGAGTTCTGGAGATTTTCCAGAATTGGAGTGTTGGGGTAATAATCCTGAACCTCAGGCACCCTATTGAGTAAACTTTGGGGCATGTATTTATCATGAACACCCCACATGCTTGGTATCAGAGCCCTCACTCACAGGGATATGATTGACTTTGAGTTCAAGGTGGAGCAAAGCTTAACATACTTTAAACAACACTTTCTCTAATTTACTGACTTTTATTAAGAATGGGGAGGTTCCCTTTTGTCTATTTTATTCAATCCTAGTCTGTTCTCTTTGATCTAGTTTTACAGCTTTTAGTCGTCTTTTGTGTTTCTCTATCAATGGGTAATTTTTGAAGTCCAAGGGCGGCTTAAAAAATAACAACTTGTTACTTTAAACACTAGTTTTTCTTTCTTTTAACTTTTATTTTGATATAATACTAGATACACAGAAAAGTTGCAAGAATACCAGAAAGGATTCCTGTGTACTTTTTATTCCCATACTCAAAACGATGACATTTGGATACATTTGTTTTGTCTTTTTCTTGATATCTTTCTTTATATTCCCCCCCAACCATTGAGATAAGTATAAATAAAGTATCTATTTGCCCCTACATCATTCCCTTTGTATTTTCCCAAAGCAAAGGAGCAGCCTGAGAAACATAGACTGTGTCTCTACAAAAAAAGTAAAAAAAAAAAAAAAATTAGATGGGTGTGGTAGTACACACTGTGGTAGCAGCTGCTGAGGAGGCTGGGGCAGGAGGATCACTTGAGCCTCAGAGTTTGAGGCCCTCTCTCTTAAACAACAACAACAAAACCCAAAGGCCTTCCCTTACACAAATACCATGTAGTTTTCAAAATTGGGAAATTACATTGATACTCTAGTGCCCCTATCATCTAATCTGTGGTCTCATTCATATTTCACTAAATGAAACAGTGTCATTTTTAGAGAAAGAAAAACCTCAGAACAGGTAGTTTATTGGTTGTCTTTGATCTGGAGGCTTTTTTTCTTTTCCTTCCTGGCAAGGACATTTTTGAAGTGTATGGGCCGATTTCTTCGTACGCTGCCTGTCAATTTACATTTATTTAATGTTTCCTTATGATTAGATTCAGGTTGTACATTT